TAAAGGCTCTTTACGGTAGTTTGCAGTTGGATGGTTATACCTCCAGAAATCCTTACTTTACATTCAGTTTCTTCTACTCCAGTTAACCAAACAACAAAACTCGCTAATCAACAAGTGACCTTCCAGATTAGCATCGATTGAGGTAACTTCAGGATAATGTGTCTTCTCCAAATTGTACTTTGCTGTTCAAAATTAATAGAAAGCGCCTATAATATGAGAGATGTTTATTAGCAAATATGCTACCTGTTTTCTGAGAGATTATTTTGTGGAAAAACATCTTTTCTCTTTATGTGTATAGAGTATCTCCATACCTTGGAATTGTAAGACAGTTTTTCTACTTTACATTCATGGAAATAACAACAATTAAGTACCATCTTTTGATCAGGCTTAGAATTTATTGCTTGTCTGATGCAACTTTTTGTAGTAGCAGAATAAATTATTCTACAGATATTTGCCTGCCTCCCCTAAGCATTAGTTCACCTACTATTCTAGTTACTGTAGTTAAACATATTGCATAGGACAGATTTTTTTGAGTGAAAAAGAACAAATTAAATGATAAAAATAATAAATAGGCTTCATTACAACATCCCATAGAAATACATTGCATATATTAAATATTTCTTTTCTTATATTTGGCAACTACTCATAAAATAGGTCAGTTAAAACTGATTTTTTTTTTTTGACAGAAAATGAGGCAGAGTCTTAACAGTATTTTCAGACAGTGGATGTACTGTAGATAGCATTATTTACTGATTTCCTTGGACTATGATATTTCCAGTTGCTCTTTAATATTGTAAAGTTCCTTTATAACCTATAAAATTACCAGTGCTTAGCTCATTATTAAACTTTTGTTGAAGAAACATATGGGGAATTTTTACGACATGATACACGTGGAATTAAAGTGAATTCCATCCATGATATATTGTTTCAACTATTTTTCCATCATGTGAGCACTGTGACTGCCTACTGCCCTGGACTCAAGAGTTACTTGAGAGTCATGTGATCTGCTTCAGCTACAGGCTCTGATGGACTCATTGATGAGGTTTATTTCTCAGGTCACTGATGCTTGTGGAGTGAGATATTTACTGAGAACTTCCAGGAAGTTCTCTTTTCTGAGAGTTACTAGAAGAGCAGCTGAGGGATCTTTGAAAGTTACATCATAAGGATGTGACAACTGGCATTGCTGCATTCATTTCTGTGAGCAGCAAGCCAGCCTCTCGATGAAGCCCACACTCAAGAGGACATGGCTGAGAGACTGGCAGAACCTCTTGGTCAAAGACCAAAGTTAGCTAAGTGTGTGGAGTATTCAGTCCTGTGATCTGATAAATTTGCCTACGTCTTTTTGAGTTGGGTTTTTGTTATATGTGATTGAAAAAAAAAAAACCTAACTAAAGGATATCATCATGTGATCAATTTTGAAAGTACTGATGCTTATTAATATTTTACTATTTCAAATATAATTTGTAACTTTAATCACATTAGAGTAGCATTTTTAGTTCAATTCAAATTAATATTTGAGTCATTCGGGTATATAAATCTATGCTGTTTTAATTTAGGGCTGGATTGATACTGTGTTTCTAAGGTTTTTTGGTTCATAACCCTCTAGAATCTTAAAGCATTTTTATGCTAAGGATGTCTGATGGGAAATGCAAGACCTACAACTTCTTTCTTGTGAAAAATTCTTGAATGACAATTGTGTATAAAGCTCATTTGTAAGGTAGAAACATAAATGATATTTAGGTACCTCTTTTTGTGTCACCTTTTATATTAAATGTGTACGTATTCGGTTAATTTTTAATGGCTTTAGGGGTACCTGACTGCCTCAGTCAGTGGAGCATGCAGCTCTTGGGCTTGGGGTTCTGAGTTCAGGCCCCACATTGGCCATAGAGCCTACTTTAAAAAAAAATAAGAAAGAAGGTAGGCTTTATCTAGACTTTCAGTGGCTCTCCATTTTGCTTATGAATTCCAAATATTTATATGAATGGAAAATTCCATAATTTAGCCTACATGTTTCCAGCCTTATTTCTCATCCTTTTCCATATTCAGTGAAATTAATGTGTTTCCCTGATCCATGCCTTTGCTTCCCCACCCCTTCCCTCTGACTTGTTCTTTCCAGTCCTTTCTGCCTGTGGAATTAATACCCATCATTTTTGCCCCAGTTCTGATCCTACCTCTTCAGTAAAATCTTTGTCCATTATCGACCATGACTGTAAATGATCTCTCTTACAAAATACTTTATTTCTTCTTGTAAGAAAATTCAGATAATACTGAATATGTTAAAGTAAAACAAATCTCCTTCATTCCTAGTCCCGTCCTCCATAGGAGAACCTCCTCATAGTTCAGATCCCTTGATGTTTTTTTAATGTATATTTAAGCATATGTGACATAGTTGGTTATCACTTCTTTTTTAAAAATTTTTTAAATTTATTTTTGAGAGAGAGAAAGAGAGAGCTGGGGAGGGGCATAGATGTGGAGGACAGGAGATTCAAAGCGGGCTCTTCACTGACAGCAGCGAGCCCAGTGTGGGACTGGAACCCACGAACCGTGAGATCATGACCTGAGCTGAAGTCGGATGTTCAACTGACTCAGCCACCCAAGCACCCCAATTATCACTTCTTTTGACTACCATATTGGAGAGCACAATTCTAGAGGCTTAATAATATTAAACTTTGATTTTTCTTTTGACAAGAATATTTCATATTGCATCATAACAGGAGCATCATATTGCATCATAACACCAACTGGTGTCTTCTTGTGATGTTTAGTTGAATCAGTGATACAGTGTCAGCTTGATCTATCCACTTTAAAAATCCCCATTATTCTCTCACTGAATGATTTTATCTAATTCTTTTAAATTGCTAGAGACAGCAACTTGACTGTTAATGTAGTAAGGTAATAGATTGTTAGAAAGCCAGGCTCTGGAGCTACGCAGTCTGCCATTTATGACCTTAAGCAAGTCTGTATGTCTTTGTGCCTTAGTTTCCTCTGTTGTGAGTTAAGTGCTTCACAGGTTTATTTCAAGGATCAAATGTGTTAAATGTTTAAAGCATTTATTTGGGAAATACTTCATTGGATGATATTCATTGTATTCTGTCTGGCAATGAGACCAGGTCACATTGTAGGAAAACAGAGTGCCATTTAAATGATTAAAGAAACCTCATGTATGTCTAGCATCTATGATTTTTAATAAGAAAAACATTAGCAGTAAGGGGGATTTGTTATATTTGAGTTTGTAATAAAGAAAAGAAACACTGATCATGGAGCGCCTGGGTGGCTCAGTCTGCTAAGCATCTGATTCTTGATTTCAGGTCATGTCATGATCTCACGGTTTGTGTGAGTTCCAGCCCCGAGTTGGACTCTGCACTGGTAGCACGGAGACCACTTTGGATTCTTTCTCTCTCTGCCCCTCCCCTGCTGGTGCGCGCACGCTCTCTCTCTCAAAAAAAAATCAACATTAAAAAAGATTTTTAAAGAAACATTTAAAATAAAAAAATATTGATCATAATTACATATATATATCCTAGATGTTAGGAAAGAAAATTTATGAAAAAGAAAAATGACGTTTTGACTCTGAAAGCTGTACAGTTCTTTGGGATGGGAGTTAATAAAAAGGGCATACAGAGTGTTAAATAACTTGAGAAAGAAGTCTCTAAAAATCCAGCATAATTATCCAAAGGAGCTCTCAGATTAACAGAGCATGGATTTATTAGATGGAAGGGGAGATGCAGAACTAAAGAATTATAAAATAATAATATAAACCTTTATAAACACTGGCAGTAACTGTAAACTGAAGTTTATAGAAAATGATTAAGACAACATAAATTTTTATAAATATCTCAAATTAGAAGATTAAGTTTCAATAAGACCATCACATTTTTAAGAAAGGTAGAACCATCAGTTTCTTATTTTACAACTGTTTGATTTGGTAGGGGAAAATAGAAGTTGGAAAAGATAATACAAAAAGAATTGTAGGCCATGGTAGGAAAACAGGCAGTAAGTGAAACACTTGATCACTTTAAGTGCATTTCATTTTCTTCATTTAAATTAATGTTTTCTGTAGCTGCCAGTAAAGACTTGCAGATCTACTCATGAAATTGTGTGTTATCTTTGAGAATTTCATTAAAATTGTATTTGTTATCTGGAGATGATCAAATCTAGATCGATTTGTTTTTATTTACTTATATTTTTAGAAAGGAGAAAGTGTGGGTTCTGGAAATTATAATCCTGTAAGCTTGTTATTGTTCTTAAATTTCTAGAAATAATTTCAGTATAAATCTGTGAACATTTATGAAAAAATGCTCAACTGTAGAAATATAAAGGTGTCCACCAAGAACATGTCAAATTAATTTCAGTTGTTTTTTGAATGATAGGATCATCAGTTCAGATGAATTAGAAAAATACCATAATAATAGTGTCTTAATTTTAATTATGTATTTGACAATCTTTTGCCATATTTTTAGATAATATATGATGGTAAATTGCTGTTTAAATTTAGAGTAGTAGGTAGATTTATAGTATTTAGATTCAAAGTAGGTCGAAATTGAAAACCAGTATTTGGTTACAGGTTCAGTGTTACTTTTGAGAGAGATCTTCAAAGCATTACAATAGGATTATCTATATCTTGTGTCAACATTTCCATTATTGATCTGGCTGAAGGTTTAGAAAGTAGGTTTATCTGATTGTAGATTATTCAAAGCTGGACTTGGGTAGCTGATACCATAGAAGGCACCCTAAAGCCTTCTCTCATTAACATAGTGCATTTGTATCTTCCCTCTCTCTTAACATACTTTGATACTTTATATGTAATATAAACTCATGATTTAGTTTGCTTCAGGGAAAAAAGTGACTTTTTTTTTTGTCTGCCTGATATTTTTACCAAATTAATGTATGAATTCAATATATTTTTTACGATAGTATAACATTCTTAATGATACAGATTTAATAATACAAACTGAAAATTGGAAAAGACTCTGCATAAAGTATATTTTAATCTCTTCTAGGAGTATGAAGCACGAACAGGGAGGACCTGTAAACCACCACCTCAGTCTTCAAGACGTAAGAATTTTGAATTTGAACCACTTTCTACCACCGCCCTGATTCTTGAGGATCGACCATCGTAAGTATTACGGTGGTCATCAGGCACACTGTTTATATTTTAAACTTCAATTTAATCTTGCTTACTATTTCACACAAAATGTAAGAATTGAATACAGAAATGGCTTTAAGAAAATTTTAAAAATCTCAGTCATGTATCCTAAAACTAATAAGGAAGAATATATTATTGATGTGCAAACTTTATACATATTTTCTAGAAGTATCTCTAAGCCAATGAATGAAACATAAATCTTAGATGGCTTTTTATATCTATTCTTACTTCAACCCTCCTGCCTTATCTTAACAAGATAAGGCATTTATTTTTCCTTTCTTGCCATTTAATAGGTACTTAAGATGTATTGGTCTTTGCCTTTTGGACAAATTTTGAAATTTGGGAGCTTGAAGTAATAACTACTGATTTGTCAACTAGTTAGTTTACTATTATTAAGAATATATTCTTGAAGCGCCTGGGTGGCTCACTTGGTTAAACGTCCGACTCTTGATTTCAGCTCAGGTCATGATCTTGCGGTTCATGGGATCGAGCCTCTCATCAAGCTTTGTGCTGACAGCGTGGAGCCTGCTTGGGATTCTCTCTGTCCCCCCTCAACCCCTCCTCTGTGCACGCGTGCACCTTCTCTCGCTCTCTCAAAATAAAGAAAAGCTTTAAAAAGAAGAATATGTTATTTTTTATTATTTTGTTTTTGAGAAAGAGACAGCTCAAGTGGGTAAGGGGCAGAGAGGGGGACAGAAGATCCAAAGTGGGCTCTGCACTGATAGGAGCAGGCTCCATGCGGGGCTCAAATGCACGAGCAATGAGATCATGACCTGAGCTGAACTCATATGCTCAACCGACTGAGCCACCCAGGCGCCCCAGAGAATAGAAATACCCAACAAAACCAATTTAAATTCTTCCCTTCCCTTTTTCTGCCCTTCCCATCTCAGCCTTCCACAAAGCTGCTGTTCTTTAAAACACTGTTTCTGATTTGTTATCATACAAAACACACCTTCCCTAAAGCAAGACCCCTTGGTTCTTCACTTCTTCCCCCTTCTTGGGCTCTCTGGATCTGCTCTTTTTCTTCTAGACTTCTCTCTCCTTCCAGTGTAAAAAATTCCTAACCTGTCTTGTCATTTTCCTGATCTGCACCTTTTTCCACCCATTATCATGGGGAGCATAATAAAAGAATCTGGGGCCAAACAGGCAGAGGTTGAATTGAATATTTTTTAGACATTCTGAGAGAAGAAAGGTTGGACGTAAGTACATTATTTTTTTTTTTTATTCTTGTTACATTCCTTCATACTAAAGAAAGTGTGATCATGACACTCCTTTTTAAGGATTTGCTGAATATGTTCATATTTCATTTTTCCATTGGTTTAAAAAAAAAAAAAGCTTTTTAGCGGCACCTGACTGGCTCAGTAAGAGGAGTATCCTACTCTTGATCTTAGGGTCATGAGTTCTAGCCCCATGTTGGGTGTGGAGCCTACTTTAAAAAAAATTAAGGGTTGCCTGGGTGGCTCAGTCAGTTAAGAGTCAAACTCTAGATTTCAGCTCAGGTCATGATCTCGTGATTCGTGAGTTTGAACCCCGCATCAGGCTCTGTGCTGACAGTGTGGAGCCTGCTTGGGATTTTCTCTCTCTCCCTCTCCCTGCCTCTCCCCGACGTGTGTTCACGCTCATATTCTCTCCCTCTCTCTTTTCTCTCTCTCAAATAAACTTTAAAAAAAATTTTAAAGAGTTTTTCAGAAATTCACTTATGAGAACATGTCAAAGTTTCATTTCAGTCTTGCTGCCAGGGAGGAGAATTAACCAGGCCAATTCAAAGAGTGGTCAGATAAGCAAGAAGAGAATACCTGGTTAAAGATCTTCAGACTCTTGACGCTGAGCAGGTAGATAACTGCATTCGGAAGAGTGTTCTTAAACTTGTTAAAATTCATCCAAAGTGGATTAAGCTCTTTACCAGGACTGTTCATTTCTTCCCAGAAGTTCATAAAAATACCATGCAAAAAGTTCCGTTCTAGTGTTCGGGCCATATTTTTCTTTACACCACACTTTATTTACAACCAAACCTATTTCTTTAAGTCCTGCCTTCATGCCTTTGCTCATTTATTGCCCTCACTTGGGATGCAAATATCTTATTTCCACTTCTCACCTACCTAATTCTTTAAGGACTAGGATTTATCTTTTTTTTTTTTTTTGTAAGTTTATTTATTTTGAGAGCTAGAGAGAGAATACAAGCAGAGGAGGGACAGAGAAAGGGAGACACTGAATCCCAAGCCAGCTCTGTGCTGTTAGCACAGAGCCTGATGCAGGGCTTGAACTCAAGAAGTATGAGATCATGACCTGAGCCAAGATCGAGTCAGACACTTAACCGACTGAGCCACCAGATGCCTCTAGGCTTTATCTTTTCCATTCAGTTAAGTCTTTGGCTTCAACCTTCAGTGATTTCAATATATAATAAATATATTTGAGCCAGTTCAACCTTGCCTTCACAAGCTGAGAATTTGGAGCAGAAACTTATGTAATCTGTAGTTTTGTTCTGTTTCGGAATGCAGCCAAGTTCTGTTAAGGTGGCATCTGCAAGGGGGTGGAGAGAGGGACAGAAGTTTTCCCTCAGCATGAAATTGATGTTGGAAACTTCCTCTTTCATAGATCACAGTGATAATGGGAGGAGAGGAGGAGTTTCCTCTTGCAAAGGGAATTTGTGAATTGGTGCCACTTTTTTTAGCTTCTGTAATTTTGCAGAAACATCCAGAATCATTGGCTGCATAGGTTTTTATAGTTGAAACTTCTTTATGTATGAAGCAGCTATAGTATTTAATCATCTGAAGTCCTCAGATTTCAAATACAGGAATTTTCTCTCTGCCTACTCCTCCCTTAACCCACCTCATAATAAAGCCAGCCTTGGACAGGAAGGTAAGAGTATCCATATGAGCTGTGTTGATAGGAACCTCTTTTATGTTACTATTTTTTTTATAAAATTTTGTTAATGTTTATTTTTGAGAGAGAGACAGAGCATGAGCAGGGGAGGGGCAGAGAGAGAGGGAGACACAGAATGTGAAGCAGGCTCCAGGCTCTGAGCTGTCAGCACAGAGCCTGACATGGGGCTCAAACTCGTGAGCCGTGAGATCATGACCTGAGCCTAAGTCAGATGCTTAACTGAGCCACGCAGGCGCCCCAATCTTCTATGTTTTAAATCACTGATGCTTATGGGACTTTTTTTAAAACCACCAATGGATAGAGCTACGTCTCTTTCTCTTCTGGCTTCTTGGCTGAGTTACTGTACACACAGTACCAAACAAAGTGGAGAAATTCTTAAAGGTGCAAGTAAAAGGTGACAAAAAAGTAAAGTATAAGGGCACCTGGGTGGCTCAGTCGTTAAGCATCTGACTTCAACTCAGGTCATGATCTTACAGTTCTTGAGTTTGAACCCCCCCCATGAGGCTGTCTGCTGTCTGTGTGGAGCCAGCTTCCCATCCTCTGTCTCCCTCTTTTTGCTCTTCCCTTGCTTTTTCACATTCTCTGTCTCAAAAATAAATAAACATCAAAAAAAAATTTTTTTTATATAGGTTTTTATGTGATAGCTTTGAAAAGCAGCAAATGTTCTTACCATGTTTTTTAGCATGATCCACTATCTTAGATATTCATTCTTCTCTTGACCACCTAACTAATTGACATTTTTCTAAGGGACAATAGTAAACCATATCTTTTTCTTAGAGTGCCTAAGAGTACTGAATGAGGTGCTTAGTTTTTCCTGGTTGATTTTATTCACTCAGCCTTTGATTTTCAAGACTGAAGAATCCTATTTTTTTAATTAGTTCCCTAGGCAAATGACTGCAAAATTAGTGATTTTTTTTGGAAGAAAAAAAACACGAAAAAACAAGTCCGTGTATGTATTTGTTTTATGTTTTACTCATTCACTGTCTAGCTTAGGGTACTAAAAATTCTGGTCTTCCTCAAAGTATCAAAGATTGGTTAGCGGGGCGCCTGGGTGGCGCAGTCGGTTAAGCATCCGACTTCAGCCAGGTCACGATCTCGCGGTCCGTGAGTTCAAGCCCCGCGTCGGGCTCTGGGCTGATGGCTCGGAGCCTGGAGCCTGTTTCCGATTCTGTGTCTCCCTCTCTCTCTGCCCCTCCCCCGTTCATGCTCTGTCTCTCTCTGTCCCAAAAATAAATAAACGTTGAAAAAAAAATTTTTAAATAAAAAAACAAAGATTGGTTAGGACGTTTACCATATGGACTCTTCATGTTTGGACCATTGAATTTGTACTCTGTACTATGTACCAAGGCTTTTGCATTTATGATGATTGGAAGAAGGGGATACCAAGACTTATAATAATTAATAAGCCAATTATTTATTTACTATTTTGTGTTGGAGTACATATATAAGTACTCATTTTCAAAAAACTGAAATCACAATAGAAAAACCTGACATAGGACTATCTGAAAAGTTCTGTTTCCTGAACAGTGTTTAACTCCTTCCTGCAAATTATTTCGTGCTAAGACTGACGTACTTACGACTGGCACAAATAAAGCTATCTGTTTGCCTCTTCTCGAAATCTTTCAAGACTAGGTCAACATAGTTTGGGGAGTTATCTGGAAAAACCAACGTGTGAGTGTCAGTGAAACAATAATGCATATAAAGGGACTGTACTCTTTTTATTAATTAATTAGGCCTTTATAATCATGGTTTTGAGGCATAGTTCTATGTTTACTTAAAATCTGTGATCTTTGTGCTTATTCAAATTTAGATCCGTTCCCTTACATAAATGACCTGGATGGCAAGTTACGGTTCCTTCTTTTTCTAGAGTCTAGACCTAGAGTCTCCATTATGGTAACAACTAGCCACAGGTGGCTATCTAAATTTAAATTTAATTAATTAAAGTTAAATAAAATAGAAAATTCATTCCCTCAGGCACACTAGTCACATTTCAGGTGCTTAGTAGCTACATGCGGCTAGTGGCTACTACATTTTAACAGCACAAAAGAACATTTTTATCATTGCAGCAAGGGTTAGTACTGGTCTAA